TCTCGGGGCAGTCAGCCAATGCCGTCTCCCACTCTGTCCACCTGAACCATATGCGGCCTTTAACAAGCCTCCCGATTGCAGTCAATGTGCACCCTTGCAGCATACGCTTCTCCTCATCCGTCAGCTCTACAGTTCCAGCCACACGCTTGCCTTCCTTCACAACGTGTACCGCAGCTGCGTACGCCGTCGCAACCTCTATCTCCTTTGTGTATGCGCCCAACCTCATCTGTGTGCGCTTCGCCTTACCTTGCTCCCAGAAAAGGATCTTGGCGCTCCACTTTCCGCGCTTCTCTTTCCGAACTCCCTTGTATTATGATGTCTTCCCACGTCCCTTCACCTACTTGCCTCCGACTGGCACGTCCCCTTCTGCATCGCTGCAAGACGGTGTCGTGGACCCGCGTCTCCTCTTTGCTGGCATAGCCAATACCACCGGCCGCGTCCTAGGTGCAGGCACGCTCTCGTGCATAGGCTGTTGCTTCTTGGGCATGACCTCAGGTGTGCCCCCAGAAAACAATGTGGTGTGGAGGGTGTGGGGAGGGGGGAGAGGCTTCGATGAATCACCCCGTACTCACATCCATCCGCATTCACCTGCGAGTTTCCTTGTGATCCGAGGCTTTCAGAAGCTTTTCGCCGCACATCCGACCCCGACTTTGGTGTGGATGGCGCAGTAGTTCGACCGCATACAGGCGCGAGCAAACTCCCAGCATAGCCTTGCGTCTGCAAAACGTGCGCAGCTGCGGTGATAAGCTGGTCTCAACTGTATCCATTGCAGCGCCAACGGCAGTGAGGGCCGCGTTCAAGATTACGACATCCCGCTTGAGGCTGTAAACCTCCATTTGGCACTTCGACAACTTCGTGTTGACATCCTGCTCCTCAGAGTCAAGAATGGCGCCATCATCAGTGACTTTAGGCGCGGGCTGCTTTGGCACTAGCACTCCCATTCTCGCCATCGCGGGGATGAGCTCGTGGTCTGAATGCATGCATAAATCTGCACGCATCCCTCAGCGGTACTCCAGCGCACTCACACCCTCCAAGCACAGAAATTGCCTAACCCTTTTGAAATCGTTATCGACCAAACACTTCAAATAGTGGCATACAAAGATGCCGCAGTCAAAGTTGTTGTCCTGTCTCTGCAACTAAAGCTTCTGCGCACGCTCACAAGCACATGGCCGCGTGTGAGGACATTTATCTTCGCACCAGACATGTAACTGAATTCAAGCCTGATCGGGGCTTCTCACCCACCTTCATCCGAACGGGAACCGTGTCTCTGAGAACGTTCACGAGTGTGGATGCGTCACACTCCGGGTGCATTACCTTGGTGGTGACTTCAAGTAACCTGTATGGCAGTCACAGAGCACTGTTGAAGTGAGTCTAACACCCTAAAAACGTAAGAACACACGCGCCAGTAATACGTGCACTAGCCACTCACAGTTTGACGCTATCAAACACCTTGCAGTCATCACAATGGGAGCCATAGCTGTCATATAGAATGAGCTCGAGCGGGTGTGAACCTTCTCCAGAGGTGGAGCCTAGCAATTGTTTTGGAGTCGGGACAATCATGAGAGAGTAGTGGGCATTGCATCTCGGCGCACAACATAGTTTAAAATGTTTAATCAGTACAGATTCCAATGTTAACCCTTACTACAAATACAAATACGACCTCACTCCTTGAAAATCGGTATTGCCAAATAGTCAACATCAAACAGTCGTCGTGCCTTGCCCATATCGTAGGCCTTCTTAAAGGTATAGACGTACGCGAAGGCCTTGCTGTCAACAGCCGCCCATGTTGTGCCGTTCGGAGTTATTGGTCGCCGGATGCCCAGCAGCCTGCGAGAAGCAGTATCAACATTATTACGCAAACCACAGACAACAAACATTGGTATAGGCAAACCGCAGTGTTAAGAATGTGGTCATTTAATCAATATCACTCACACGTTGTGGAAGTTCACGATGACGTCGGTAATACATTTTCCGTCCGCTCTGGAAATCATGTCTGACGCTTCCACAATATAGCCCATGCCATCGGCGTTGAACAACGACATCGACTTGAACGATGTGGAGTCGTTCGAGGAAACGAGTCGCGTCACGAGGTCGCTGGGCTCCGGATCTTCCACTTCTTTCTCCAGCTTCACAGTATAATTTACGGCCACGTTGGTACCGATTGCAGGTTTGTTGTCATCAGCATGCGTCTTATTGCTTTCTAGGGTTCGGCTCCGACCGCCCCGAAGACTGCGTGCCACTCCGCCGCTATCTGGAACCTCAATGTCACTGCGAGTGGCAATAGAGTTCGCGGCGCGCGGATTCTTGCCTTTCGAGGCACACTGCTTGTCGCGGGCTCGACCAAGCGGAGACATAGTGGCATGTATGTGTTGCATAAGACCTGGTCACTTAGAAGACTTACGACGAACTCATTTCTCAACTAAACGCAGATCCGCTCAGTAGGATTGCGCGCGCTAGTCTTAGCTACCACCTCGAAGTTGAATCATATGAAAATGTGGTATAGGGAGTGAGAACGAACTGAAAACGTATAGCTTCTACTTTCACTAGAATAGATGGAGGAAGAACAAACAATAGGAGTAGAATGAGGAGTTGGGGGGTTTCAAGAAAACCTTGTGAGGGAAGGGCTCTCCAAATGCTAGGGAAGGATGGTAGGAACCTTCTTAGCATAAAAAATGCAACCCTCATCATGAGGTCCTTGAGGTGTCACATGCAAAATCCAATCCAATTGGATTTTGCCATGTGTTGAAACATTTGCAACCCATGCTAGAAACTTCTAGCCACCCCAACCCAAAATTCAAAGTTGCCTTCCTAACCACCCAACCAAAGATCCCTTTATAGTCATGACCCAACAATCGCCCAATTAAGGTAATACCCCAAATCAAGTTATAACTCCCAAATCTTGGAAATCTTGTCACTTGGGCGATCTTGGTATCGTTGGAAAGCTCTGGATTTCTCCTGCGCGATCAAGCATTTAGACTTGGAGAAAAACACAGAGGTGATAAAATCATACAGCCATGCATAATGATTTATGCTCATGCAAATGACGCAAGCATGAATCACACAAGCACACGGCATGACGTTAGGATGACATGCACTCATACTGATGTGCATACAACAGTATATGCCCCGAGAGTTGATAGGAGTGAAAACTACGAGACCGGTTGCTTGCAGATATGGCTCTCGGAGAAGCTGATGGGTAGGAGAATGAGGACATATGCCGTTAAAATTAGGCGTAAACAAGAAGGGGATTGGGAAATGTGTCAAGAACAGAGCCTCAAGACTGATGGGTAGATCTGTATGAATTTTTTGCGCAAAGGCACAGTCGCGTGCCAAATGTCGGGATGCAAGGCATTCTTATCGTGTGAGCATGCACATGAGGTACGCGGTAGAGAATTCGTGCCAGTGACTCACCTATAGTGAGTTTCCAGTGAACACGATGCATCCGACTATGCTTGCATCCGACTTCGCGTTCGATGTACGCGTTAGGACCCAACCCGTTGGAATGTATGTATGTCATCAGATACGCATTATAGTCCATCTACAATGGACACAAATCTTGCGCACTCCCTATACATTAAACCCTGAACACAACACCCAATGAAGTAAGCAGTTCTCACCCCTAAAGTACAACGCGTGCCTCTATACCAAATACATTGCGAGTGTTCACAATGTGAGCCTTTATAGTATACTAAATCTGCGCACACAACGATAAGGGTTCAGGGTAGTATCCATGGGTGGAAACGTGTGCGGGGGATGCAGCAAAAGATTTCGGGACGACAACCGACTATAGTCACACTTGGCAAGTAGCGCAGAATGCAGAGTTATTATTCTAAGTCGAGTGAAGGTGCTCCTTACAGAGGCATATCTTGAGGTCGTGCGGGCGTTTTTGCACACTCCGCCCACTTCTCCTGCGCAAGCCCCTCCTAGTCGTGGCTCAAGTGGAAGTCCCCCGCTTAAGCGACCTGAGGTTCCTACCGCCGACGAGGTAGAGAAGAGTGAAGCGGACGACCAGTCCACCTATAGCGAGCAGATCCCCCTTGAACTTACAACGATTTATTTGTTTATCTGGGATGCCGACCTGTCTTGCCGCAAAGTTAATCGACTGTTACACATCTTCAGAAATCCGAGGTTCAACCTGCGTGCCTTGCGTCGCTTGCGCAACTGGCTGGATGTGAGGCGATGGGGCGAAGCAAGGGCGCCACTCGACATGGTGCCTGGCCGTGCGAGGAGATTGTGGTCAGAGGGCCGAGTAGTCAAACGCAAAAGCTTCCGCTGCACTACAAAAACACCGAGCTTGTACGTCCTGCTTGTACATTGCCGTTAAGATGATTGGTTTGGGAGATTACAGCTCGGTAACTGAGTACTGTGATGTGATGTGCCTTGTCACATTGACAGTTGGTGAAGAAGCTCGTGCAAATTTTTGCGGGGATCAAGGGGTTTGTCACCAAACCGCGGACAGAGGTGGACCCTAAGACCAAAGAGCGGATCTTCAGCGATCCTGCCACCGCTAAATTGCTAGAAGAGGCGCACGTGCGGAACACATCACATATGCAAACCTTGTACACACTAGGGTATGGATATGTGCATTCAACCGCTTGAGTTTATGCATGGCAGAAGGAGTTGAAGGACGATGCAGCATGGGTGCTCGGCGTCATTGTCTACAGCGACGGCACCAACGCTACGCGCAGTGGTCGGCGACAGGCATGGCCCGTCCTCATCACCCTTTTCAACATCCCTAAAGAGTTTCGGGGGACTCAACCAGGCCATGCATTGGCAGTTGTTCTGCCCTTTCCTCCTGAGTGGGCGACATCGACAGAGAAGGCACGAGTGTTTCAAGAGGCAGTTCGCATCATATTGGCTCCCCTCATGCGGGAGTCATTCATGTACTAATCTTTGCTGACGTGAAATTCCAACTAATTGTTGAAATAGGTGGCTGCATGGGATGAGACCTTGCTCATTGGCTGCAGTGTGTATCCAACCGCTTGTGTGCCAGCGCACCTATGCAGGTCTTCTATGTCATGGACGAGCAGGGAGAGCCTGTAAAGGCCGTCCCATGCTTCTTTGGCTACCCCGGGGACTTCATTGAGCAATGCCGAGCCACCGCGACGCTGCAAACAGGCACCAAGCGACCCTGCTGCACATGCTACATACCGGACATTCTCCTTCCGGACCTGGTGCATAGGGCCACTACCAGGACAGTGGACTCTGAGATGCATGTTCTGCGCAACATGCTTGCATGCAAGACTGTCAAGGAAGCAGAGGCGATTCAGACCGAGTGGTCATTTCATCCTGTGGAGGTATGTGGATGGTGTTTACACCGACAGGTAGAGGATATTTGAACAACCAATGCTGTCGCATTCTTAAGGTAAATGTCACCCTAAACACTGCAGTGCGTATTATCACGATGGAACTTCTCCGACACATCATGGGGGAACCTGTTTGGTGCATGCGTGGAGGACATTATGCACGTGCTGGATTCGGGGCTGGCGCTATACATGCTGGAGAGCCACATCACGACTCTAAGTAAGCCGGAGAGGCGGGAGGTAGAGAGGTGAGCATAACGATATGGCTGCAGAGAGAGGGGACTGAGGAGCAGATTATGCAAGGAATGCGTCGTTGTGTTGGTATTGGTGCAGCACAAAAGGATTGCAGTCCACACACACGACAGACATTACCTTGTTGTGCACCCTAACCCACCAGGCGCAAGAAGACAACCAAGGGAGAAACACCAAGTGTAATATTGCGCATCCCAAGGGGCAGTTCCTATGTCTTGAGTGGTGCAAATTATGCAGCATTTGAACACCGCAGCATGATGCAAGTGATGCCTATCCTAGTGGCCAACAAGGCAGCGCTGCAGGAAGGGAAGGTCGGAGAGCTGGCGACGTTGCGCGTGCGGGCTTTTTGCATGTATGCAACGTTCTACAAGGCGTTTCTTGGTGTCAGGGGACACACGCAGATGTCTCGTGCGATCGCCAGGCAGCATGCGATCCAGTATGTGTGGTAGAGGGTCTTGAAGGCAGGGGTATCTAAATGCATGAATGAATGCATGTGGTAATCGCTGTACCAACTGTGTAAAGTTCTACTCCGTGCTCCCTTTCATGCTGTTGCTATCTCTACGTACAGACGGGTGGAGATTCTTGCAAGCATACCCCGATCATGCGAAGAAGTGGCGCTTTCCAAAGATTCACATGGTTCAGCACTTGCTAGACAATGTGATCATGCACGGAACGCTGCACCACTACAGCACTAAGATGTGGGAACATATCTACAAGGAGACAGTCAAGAAACCTGTCAGAGGCACTAACCGGAAGGACAAAGAGAGATCTGCCAGGAGGTGGCCCAGGATGAGGGAGGGGGGCGTCAGTATGCCACAGTACTGCGTAAGGTGAGCCCCTAGGTATGATGTCATGCGTGGGTGGGCTTGATGTTAGGATCGCATGGATTGCGATCGACAGATTGGCAAGGTGGCCAGTCCAGTGACTTCCTCAAACACAACACTATGCGACCTGCAGCGGAGGGTGACGCTGCGATGGCCACCTACCGCAGTGCGCTGGGCGACCTCATGGACGCGCTGCAAGGCAGCATGGTGGCGGCCCAGATCACGGCATCGGAGATCGTGGTGAGTTGAGTCTTGTCGCCGACACCTTGTAGGCACGTTCGTCATGCAGGCCGGCATGTGTAGGAAGTGTTTATCCCACAGTGGTTTCTCCGATTTTACTATGATGCCCATGCTCCACCACTGCAGGCGCATACAGAGGTGGCGATCCCACACAAGGAGGACTGGTACGCCAAGGTGCTATGTATATTCAAGGTCGCCACCGCCACTGGTGAGCAGAAGGCTTTTCTGTACGTGCAGTACTATGAAGAGGCGGGGCAATGCCCTCTCACCACTTGCTTGCAGCTCACCCCGTCCCGCAAAGATACAAGGTATGCCGTGGTTGCAGTGGAGAGCATCCTGCGTGTGGTGCACATCTGCCGCTCGTACAGCAACCCAGGGGTGTTGCTTCTTAAAAAAATTCTGCTGTGCGAGTAAACTGTGGGTGGGTGGGTATAGACCCCATTATGGGAAAACAACGGATTTTGTAGAGTGCTGCATGTGTAGGCTCCATGATTACTGGCATGCATGCATAAACTGCATACATTGGAGACACGGATTTTGGAGTGTGCTGTGATACAGACTTAAAAAGTAGGTCGTGGCTGTTGCACATGATGAGCATGTGTTTGTCGAAATAAGTTAGGAACAGAAAGAGAGGTTTGAACTAGCAGGCAGTTGAGTACAAATAGCAAACCCTAGATTGGGCTGTACTCGCTATAGAGTACCCCACTGCAGGCTAGACAATATAACATTCTGACAGTGTTCACCAGACGGAAGTGATGTTGTGGTGTCAAGTCGTGTATATGAAGTTGCGGTGCAGGGGTAGATGCGTTAGCATGTGCAAAAATGAATTCATGTGTGTCCGTATTCATGTGGCAGTGTATACTGTACGCCGGGATGACAAGAGGCGAGTACACGACGCGCGCATAAGGCAACATGACGTACAAGTAAGCTACGCCAAGAACAGGCGCATGTCATGCGAGGTGAGCGAGGGCACATGTTTGCATGCTAACATGCTCAGGGCTCACTTGGTTGCACGATCTTCTGCCTCATTAGACGACACAAATGTGCGTGTCCTCTCCGGCCGATTGTATGCGCAGTTGTTTACGGAGTTTATCGATGATTTCAACGGGGAGCTGTACGCGAAGAACGAGCAGGCGGTGGTGCTCGTCCACAACCCTAAACACGTCCTTACAGGATGTGTGAAAAGGACCAGCAACGTGGCAGGGTTCGTCGTGGATGAGTTGACACGTGTTCGTGTTGTGTAGCTATTTAGTGTCATCCCGGCGTGAGCTTTTTCAGCGGTGAATGGTGTGGTGGGCATTTTGAAGGCGGTGTTCTGCACTCGGTTCATGCGCACCGCAGTTGAGAGCACTGAGTGGATCAATAAGGGTGTATTTCCGCGCTCTCCGCTGCATGATGTCCTGTACAAACTGTTCATGGCGGGCAAGTTGACTGTGCTGGGTGCAATTCAGAGGAGCTGGTGGCGAGCCGGGTGCATTCCGAGGGAATGGCTGGCGCGTATGGAGTGCCTAAAAGGGGTGGCCGCGGCTGGTATATAAGAGTGTCTGGTCACGGATCTAACGCAGTTGCAGCTGGTGATCGACGAGTTCAAGAGCAAGTGCAACAACAGGCTCTTCATGACGGCATGGGATCTCGTTGGATGCGACGAAGATCTCATTGAGAAGTGGAACCCAAGGGGGGGTGAGGAGAATGAGTCGGAAGAGGAGATCCCGACATTCTTTTGCATCCCGGAAGGACCCCTCATGCGGGACCGTCGCAGCTGTCGCCGCGTGGTGCGCATGGTACATGGCGGCTTCGTCAAACATGCTCAGAGTTTGGGAATAGCTGCACGTGACGTGCCAGAGGAGGTCGGAGCTTCAACGAGGTCGTAAGCCGTCTTCGCCGCACACCAACTAAGTACCCTCGTGGTGGCAGTTCAAGCGAGGAGGGAATCACGTCTGCTGGATAAAATGGAAACACACATCCAGAGGGGTGGCTTGTTGTTCCCAATGTGGGACGACAAAGCGAGCGTTGTAGGTCTCGTGTAGGCTTCATGCTATTGGATATGCTGCGATGAGGGTGATATGTGTGTGTTTTATAGGTTGTGGCGATGGAGGGGTGCTAACTCTGCAAGTTGCTAATTGGCTTGTAAGGGGGGATTGTGGTGATTAGTAGCTTGTGTGAATGGTGGCGGCAGTGATGTGTCTGTTGGACTAATCACAAGGTTATATTGCGTCATGATATTCTCGTCTCCAAGCAATGAGTGTCAAGTGTGTCATAGTTGAACTTGAGAAGTCGCTTCCACAAATTTGCGATTACCGCAAACCTATGCATACGACATACGTATACTGTGTATTTTGTAAACACAAAAAGTATATCGGGTAGAACTTATATGCCCATGCGCGGTGCACATTTTTGACGAGCCGCATCTACAAAAGTGTAAAGTCCAATCATGATTCGGCATCGTGGTACACCCGAGCCGCGAATGTTGAGAGATTGACATCCGCGGTTCGCACTGCGGGTGATTGCATTTCTCAACCAAAGTTGCGACATTGCCTCGTTGTTTTTTGGATACTCTTCGCAACGTATCCGCAACTTTACACCAGCCTTCAGACTTGAACTCGAGTTTGGGCCAAAACTATTCCTGCGATGCGGCCTGCCCTGCCATGTAAGGCCCGCGTGCTGCCCCTGCCCTGCCCCATAGAGCCCGCGCTGCCCTGCCTTGCGCACTAGCGCCGCCTTGCCCGGTAAGGCCCGCGTGATGCTGACTGGTCGCCCGCCCTGCCGCCCGCGCTGCAGCCTGGCCGCCCGCCCGGCACGCTGCGCCACGCACGCTGCCCTACCCTGCCCTACCGGCCTGCAGCACGCTGCTGCGCTGCTGCCGCCTTGCCAGCCGCCGCTACAGCCCCTGCTAGCGCCACTACAGCCCCTGCTAGCGCCACTTCAGCCCCTACTAGCGCCACTACAGCCCTGCTACTGCCGCTTCAGCACCTGCTGCTACCGCTACAGCCCTGCCGCTGCTACTACAGCCCTTGCTGCTACCGCTACAGCCCTGCTGCGGCCGCTACAGCCCTGATGCTGCCACTACTGCCCCTGGTGTCGCCGCTACAGCCCCTGCTAGTGCCGCTACAGCCCTTCTGCTGCCACTACAGCCCTACTGCTGCCGCTACAGCCCCCGCTGACGCCGCTACAGCCCTTGCTAGCGCTGTTGCCCTCCCTGCCCATACGATGCCTTGCACGCTGCGCATGCCCCCGTGCGCTGCCCTGCCCGTGTGCTGCCCCACGAGCCGCGCCTGCACGCCTCGCTGCCCTGCGGTTGCCGCTCCAGCAGCTGCTGCACCTGCATCTGCTGTTGCTACGGGCACCCTCTGCCACTACAGTTGCCACTACAGCTCTTGCGCCACTGCTGCTCACTGCAGCTGCCCGTCATGGCCTTTCTCCGAGTCTTAGCGGTTGATGCAGATGGCCGTCCTTTCAAGTTAGGGTTCTGGCTTATGTGCCTGCGCAGGTATCTCCGGCTTTTCACTATAAATAGCGTCTCCCTGCTCGAGCATACGTCGGGGTCCCTTCAGGCCCCCACGACTCCCACTGAGCCTGCTGCTGACGCTGGCGAGCACGTGCAATGGCAGTACCGGGCGGACAGCCTTGCCTACACAAAGTGGGCAGAGCGTGACGCTGTCGCATAGCTTGCCATCCGAGCTCACCCTCCGGTCGATCAGAGTGACCACTTTCGTCAGGTAACGTCGGCTCAGACTTTGTACGACGCTGTAATTAGACACTACTCTTTCCTCACTTCTGCCACCCAGCCACTGCAGCAGCGCCGTTCGTTGTTATGGGAGGTGCAGCAGCTAGTTGAGGAGGCGAGTGTAGGTGCCAATCCGTCTGCTCGTACAGGTGGTGCCGCTTGGAGGCAGAGGTTCTGGGAGCGGACAGCAGCGACAGCACAGTCAGCAGGGACCCACTCACCGTAGCAGCTTCGGGAGTGGGTTTCCTAGCGGCACGTCCCTGGTGGTGTAGAGGCTGCTAGTCTAGATGCTTGTGAGTCTGCTAGCACAAGTGCAGTTCCGGCAGAGGCTTTGCTCACCTTCACGCTGGACTTAGGCGCGTATCACTGCCTCTTCCGCGATTGCACCACAGTCACACCACTCACTACACTTGTCCCTGTCACTCTGGCTGACCCCTCATCTGGCCCAGTCATTGCACAAGGTACCACTATTCTCCCGTATCTAGCCGTCCCTTCTGGTTCTCTCACATGTTTCCACCTCCCCTCGTTCGCTACGAACTTGGTGAGTAACTCTGTCCTCCAGGATCATTTGGTCACTACCACCACTTCTGGGGGCGAGCTTGTGGCGATCTATACGGACTCAGTGACAGGCGACCACCTCGCCACGTTCACTCGGAGACCTGGGTCTGGCCTTTACACAGTGAATGTTGAGTCTGCACAGTTGGCTGCGTCCGGTCAGGTAGTTGCGTCGTGCTCGTGTCAGTTTCTCACGCACCCTTCCATCATCTGGCACCACCATCTTGGTCACCTCTCCCTTCAGCGTCTGCGTCGCATGCATCCGCGTTTCCTTGTCTCGGGCCTTCCGAGGTCCCTGCCCCCGCTTTCTCCATTGCTTGCGCCGTCGTGCACTTCCTTGCGTCGAGGGGCGGCAGTGCGCCGCTCCTCACTCCTCCTTGTTCCCTCCAACGGAGGCTCCTCTTCAGACCCTATGCATGGACGTGTGGGGCCCTGCCCCCGTCCCTGGGCCGGGCCGGAAGTGCTACTTCCTGCTGGTCATTGACGACTTCACGCGCTAAACCACGGTGTTTCCCTTGCGGAACAAGAGCGACGTCCGTAGTGTTTTGATCCCTTGGATTTGCACTATTCATCACCAACTGAGCGCGCTGTTCCACTAAGGCCTCCCGGTACTCTGACTGCACTCTGACCGTGGAGGTGAGCTTTCCCCTGGTTTCCTTGAGGACTTTTGTCGTGAGGAGGGCATCACCCAGTCGTTCACGCTTCCGGCTTCTCCACAGCAGAATGGGATCGCTGATAGCCACATTTGTTTGCACCTCGATGATCCATGTGGCTTCTCCCTATTTTCTGTGGCCGTTTGCGGTCCGATACGCCGCACATCAGCTTAACCTCTGGCCTCGTGTCTCCGAGCCAGAGACCTCGCCTACACTGCGTTGGACGGGGAAGGTTGGCGATGCGTTGGCGTTTCGGGTCTGGGGTTCGTTTGCCCATGTCCACGATACCACTGCGGACAAGCTCTCTTCTCGCACCGTTCACTCCGTCTTCCTTGGCTTTCCCATTGACGCACATGGCTGGCAGTTCTACCACCCAGCCACGCGTCGTGTCCTGTCCTCCCAGGACGTCAACTTTGACAAGTCGGTTTGCTACTACCGTCGCCTCCCCCACGTGTCTTCTCCTGTTCCCCCGCCGCCCCTCT